AACAAGCAAAGCTGCAGAAGCAACAAACAAGGCATGGAGGAAACACGCAAAGACACCAAGCCTGGAAGTGACCAGGGGGGGGGGGGGGGGGTCCACACGTGGTCACTGGTCATCAGCCGCCTGGGGACCTCCTCCGCCTCACTGAAGGGCCCTTCTCTGGAGCATGTGGGTCACCAAATCACAAGTACTCAGCTCAGAAGTGAATGGCCTCTTCCCTATCACACAGGGCACAGAAGAATGGAGATTTCAGCGAAAGCAATTACAAATAAAGTGCTTGTTTGCTTGTGAAGGTTTAAGCCTGCGTCCTGCCCCTGCCCCTGCAGCCAGTGTCCAGCCATCAGGGACACGCAGCAGGCTGTGTCCCTGGGCTCTCCAGAGAGTGGCTGTAGGTAAGTCTCCTGTTTTCCCTGGACCCTGGTGCAGCCTGGCCATTGTGTTCCCAGCTGAGAGTGTGTTCAGGACCCTGGAAGAATGGATCACAGGGATGGAAAAAACAGACCTCAGCATGGAGAGGGCAGCCCTTAGGCCTTGCAGTCTGCAGGTCCCGGGCTGTCTCCTGAGGTTCTTTTCCTGACTTTCCTACAGGCTGGCACTTGGCTGTAGTGTGGAGGCTTGGAGGACAGATCTTCATGGACTCCGGGCAACCTGCAGTTGCCTCTTCTGGCCAGAACTGGAGTCCTTTTCCTCCTGGGGTTCTCACCTCTGGAACACTGATGATGTCACCCAGGCTGATAGCTCTTGGCCCTCATTTCTTTGCTCCTGTCCCTTCCTCTCCATGTCCCATGCATAGCCCTGCCAGCAGCTCCCTCCACGCTGGCCCAGTGGTGGCTCACAGAGTCAGCACCTGGCCTTCACGAGCCCCTTCCTCCATCAAAAGCAAATGTTTACAATCCTGTCTTCTGCCTGTCTTGGTACAAAGACAAACACATGGATCTTCATTCTTCCACGAACTCCTCCTCTTCAATCTAAAAGTTCTCCTTATTTCCCTTTGTAAATAAATCCAGAGACTCCCGAGGATCCCCGAAAGCAGGTCCCTTGCTCTGTGCTAGCTGTGCCTACCTCCAGGCTCGGCCTTGCCGGGGAGATGGCCCCTCTGCTTTCAGAGTTCTCCTCTGGGGAGAAGGGGACCTGTGTCCACAGGGTACAAAAGGCCCCTGCAGCCCCACAGCATGACCTTTGAGGCCTTTCAGCTGTACAGCAATAATTAGAGTGCAGGAAGGCTCGGCAGGGCGCACTGGAGGCCTGTAAAGTTGACCCCGCTGAGCTGCACAGGGCCTGAATTGTGGGGTTATACTTAAAGACCTCTGCTGAGCAGGTGCCCTGGGGTGAGCATCCATAGCCCAGCAGACTTCCAGGTTGAAGGGGGCAGTGGAGATACTTGGGGTGGGCTCCAACCGCCACAGGAGCCTCAGCCTCAGGCATGACTCAGGCTACCAGGCCCCAGGTGAGGACCCCGCAGCCTGCTCCTCCTAGCCCACGGAAGCACCAGAGTGGGGCTGTCTGCTGCCTTAGTGCTCCATCCTGGAAGTGGCCAGAAGCACACAGAGGGGTGGTCAGTCCTGACATAGCCCTAACCCAAGTGACCTCAAAGTCCACAGCTCTGAGCCACTGTGTCCCCAACTCAGCAAAATGATCCTCCCTGGGCTTGGCTTGCTTTTTTTCCTGCCTAAACCCTCTGGAAGGGAAAGAGAGACGTGTCAGGGGACACGGAGGTTTCCAATAGTTTCAGCCAGGGTGCGGGGGCCCTGCCCACTGCTCTTCTCTCGGCAGGCAGCTGCCACCCCACGGCATCACTACCCTGTCCTCTCGCCCTTCCTCCTCACAGCCTCTGTGCCCCCAGCCACCCTGCTCTCTGCCAGAATCCCTCGCACAAGGACGAGGGAAACTTCACAGGGCATGATTCATCGGCGGCCACCCCTCTGAGCCAAGGCGCGGATTACATTCATCAGTGTCAGACCACTAAAACCGAGATATGAATATGATTTTTCCATATTGCAGGCGAGATAAATGTGTGGGCGAATATAATTGATCGGAGGAGGGAGGGAAGGATGGGAGACCAGGGAGATCTCAGCTGCTTGCAGGTCAACCACAAGGAGGGCTCCTAGCTGGAGGACTGGGGCCAGGAATGCTGGCCTGGCCTCTCGGTCACCTTGCCCTGCCTGGGCTGTGGCACAAGAGCCGCTGAGACCAGATCTGCTTCCTGCCCGCCCACCATCAATGCGCCTGCAAAGAAGGCTCACCACAAACAGACATTCTCTGTTGGTGCTTGGGGTCCTTTCTAGGGGGAACCTCAGTTCCCCTTCATACTGAACCATCCCGGGTGGGGGTAAGGTAGGCACTCTTTACACAGACAAAAGCCTGGAAGGCTTTGGAGGTAGCACCAAAGGGACTTCTGTGCTCCCTCTAAGTACCTGAAGGCTTTTCAAGAGATGAAGCCATGAGGCCCATAGGGTGACTGCCCCCCTGCCACCAGTCTGCATAGATCAGTGGCTGAGAAAGATGTAAGGAATGACTCACAAAAGACAAAATGTGTTTTAGAGCTTGATCAAAAATTAATTTCTAGCCTTTTGATGAAGAAAAATAATTCTGAGGCTGGAAGTCTGATTTGTGTGTATAGCAAGTTCAGGGCTGCGAAGGCCCCATATGCCCTTCTCGACATCAAGACCACAGGGTCCTGCAGGCTGGGCCAGCAACCCATCCAGCAGCTCTGGGGGCCCTCAAGCACCCTGTGCAGCAAAATGAAACAGAGGAATGGAAGTCTGGCATGATGCCTACACCGCCCACCCTAGTTGATTCAGGGGAAAATGGTCAAGGCCAGCCAGTCACAAAGGGGTCTCTGAGAATCCACTCAGGGCTTGCACTGGTCACCCAGGAGGGGTGTCCAGACACATCATAGACGCCTGACCAGCAGAGAAGATTACCATTCTGCCTCAGAAGTGTGGGATATGATCTTTAGAGGAGCAGTCTGGCCAAGGACCCAGGAGCTCTTCAGCCTCAGCTGTCAGGGTGAAGCTGAGACCCAACGCAGGACTGCCAGCCAAGCCTGTGGTGGCCCAGGAGCGCAGTGAGTTCCAGACAGATAGGGGACCTCGCTGACAGGAGCTGCACCCAGTGCAGACAGCGCACCCAGCAGACACAGAGCCTGCACTACTCTTCCAAACCAACAGCTTACCCAACAGGCCAGGCAGCCCCTCCAAAACACACACACACACACAAAGGGTAACTCTGGGACACAGAACAAGTCCTTCAGCACAAATCCTGGCTCCTATCCACAACATCCCAAAACCCTGGACCCCAGATTTGCGCCACGCCCCAAAAGCCAAAAGCTAGAGCAGCGCGGTCAAGGCCCCATTCCTCCTTCTGACCATAGAGGGCGCTTCGACCACGTTCATTCTGACAGAGAAGCTGCTGGTCCGCGGTGGCCGACCCAACCCGGTCCATTCACGCAACCTGCGGCCCCACTGCTCCTGCTTCCATCCCGCCCGCAGGCCCCGCGCCCCGCAAGTTCCCATGGACAGCGTCCCCATGCGCCCCGAGGTCCCTCAGGCGAGCTGAGCACAGCCAAGGAACCTCGGGCAGCGCACCCTGACCTGGGAGCACGGTAGTCCAGCACAAGCTCCGGATGGGGTGTCCTGGGTAGGCTGGGCCACCACATTCTCTTTGGCAATTTTCACAGTGCTGCGCTCTCAGTTCTCCGCAGTTCTCTGCACCGTGGGCCCCGCACCGGTTCCGCAGCCCAAGCCGCCGCGCAACGCGTTCAGAGCGGTCAGCCTCGCGCCTCCCGCTGGAGACTGTGCGCTTCCTGCTCATTTGTGCACGACACAGGCCAAGACACAAAGTGGAAAGGGGCGACGCTGGAAGGCCAAAGACCCCGTTCTACGCTGTCACCCACCGCAGTGCCGTCTCCACGCGCCCCAGAGGACCTCGGAACTGCACCCCTGTCCACGGATCGGGGATTTTGAAATAGCTCTCAAATTTCTCCAAGTTACGTGTAAGCAAGTAACTCAGAAAAATAAAGATCCAAAGTAATGTTTCATAGCCGTTATTCCACGCAGCGCAGATAACCCTGCGCCAAGACACACTGTTCAGTCAGCTATAAACCGACTTCGAATCTGAAGTTCTCCTTTCGGGGTACGACTGAATATTCTTCTCATTGTCCCTCCTTTTGGTCCACCTTTTAAAACTCTGGGCACTGTCTAAAACAGATCTCATTTCTATCCTGAGAAAGCCACGCCCCAGGTAACTGCTCCCGTAAGCCTGGTTAAGAATTCAGCTGCCAAGGAGAAAGGACATTCACGGATTCGGCCAGCGCAGCCGCGGCGACCAAAGATGCCACCCGCTCTGCACGGTCCGGCTCCGGTCCTCAGGCCACTGCCTGGATCCCTGCGAGGATTCTGGGCACGCGTGGCTCCCGCCCTCAGCGAGCGCACGCGCACACTCACACAGCAGCGGGGACGCTGGGCATCGTTTCATTTAGTTTATTAGACAAAAATATATGATTTAGACAAGTTCGCTGACGCTCTATTTACAATTTGAAATCACTCTATGTACAGAAAGGAAAACAAAGAAAAAGAAGACACAAGCTCGTGGGGCATTTACAGAACCAGATGGGCGACCCGAGGCCTAGGTGCCACACGGATGAGCCCCTTGCTGCAAAAAGCGATGCGAGAGAGTCGGTGACATCGTTGTCTTACTGTCCTTGACACAGTCTGAAAAATTTGCCTTAATTCCCGACCCCCGCCCTCCCCAACGCCTCCCCCCTCCCCCCGCCGAAGTGAAAGAAGGCCTGGATCAGGCGGACGGGAGCGCGGCGAGGATCCGCGGCGTCCCCTCCTGCGGGGCCAGCGAGCTGCAGGGAGACAGCGAGACGGGGACGGCGGTGGCGTCAGTGCGGCGCACGACCCTGCCGCCGCGTCCCCGCCTCAGCCCCCGGCTCCAAGCTAGGGAGGAGCCGTCCCGCCCCAGGTCCACCCGCCCCGGGCGAAGCTCAGAGCACTCACTTGTCCCGAACTGGCTGGAAGGGCGACTTTAGCTGCTGCGCCGGCGAATCGGGCCTGGGGACGAGGTCTCTCTCTGAGGGGGAGGGGAAGAGGCAGAGGTTAGGAAGGGGAGACCTGGGGGGAGGGGCACCATTGGAAGCTCCCTCCCTACCCTTTCCCGAGCTGCCGCCTTGGTTTCCCTCCCACTTTCTAGCCGGCAAGAGCGAGAGGCATCACAGCCCTCTGGGGAGCGAAGGGCCTAGGCCTAAATTGCCCTTCTCGGGGTCCCTGTATCCCGGCCTCAGTACCTGGGAGAGCAGGGCTGGCGCGCGCAGAGGCTTTATCGACGTGCAGTGGGCCAGGGGTGACGGCGACCGGCTGCTGCGGAGGCGGGGGCGGGGGAGCAGGCAGGTGCGGCCCGTGGGGCGCTGCGTGGGACGCGCCGACCCCCAGGAAGGAGCGCATGTTCAGCAGCGAGCCCTGCGCGAGGAACGCGCCGTTGGTCCAGTTGGAGAACTTGCCTATATGGCAGGTGTACAGTCCGTGGCTGGGCAGGAAGGCGGGGTGCTGCAGCGGCGCGCCCGTGGGAGGCCCATGCGCGACCGGATGGCCCGCGGGAGGTGGCGGAGACGCCTTGGGTGCGCCATCGGGACTCGTGGCGGTCTCCGCCAGCGACCAGATCTTGGGTTTACTGTGCTGTGCGCCTTGCAGCCCTACGGCCAAGGTGCTCGGGCTCAGCAGACGCGTGCTGCCGGGCTCTGGGACCTCCTTGGCCAGGCCCAGAGGCGAGTCTTGGGGCTTGAGCACATCAGCCGCCGCCAGCGGCGAGCCCTGCTCCCGGGCCAGGGCGTTGGGGGTGGCGGACGGGCGCGGCCCCTCGGCCTTGTCCTCCTCGTCCTCGTTGCTCTGGTCACCGTCATGCTCGTCGATCTTGTCGATGTCGATGCTCTCTAGGTCGATCTCCTCGTCGTCCTCGGCCTTTTCGGGGTCGCCTTCCGTGTCGCTACCAAAGAGGGCGCCGTCCTCCTGGTCCTTGCTACGCGCTCCCCAAGTCACCTTGTTCTCCTTCTTGAGGCGCCGGCGTGCATTGGCGAACCAGGTAGAGACCTGCGTGAGGGTCATCTTGGTGATGATGGCCAGCATGATCTTCTCTCCCTTGGTGGGGTACGGGTTCTTGCGGTGCTCATTCAGCCAGGCCTTGAGCGTGCTGGTGCTCTCGCGCGTGGCGTTCTTGGGTCTCCCGGGATCCCCGTACTGGAACTGGCCGTAAGGGTAATAGGCCGGTGCCGTGTGGGCTGCAAAGGTGGCAGGGTGCACCCCGGGGTTGTCCTTGAGTTCATATTGCGAGCCCTGCAGCGGTGGCAGGAGGGAGGAAGGAGAAGAGAGATGGGGAGTAAGAGGTGAGTCCCCAAAGCTAGGAAAGTGTCCGGCAGCAGCCCCCACTGACTCCACGGCCTTTTCAGAGAGTGTCAAGTCCACTGGACACCCAGGCTGTTTGTGAGGATCATGCCGTGCTCCAGAACCCCAGAAGACCCCCCTCCAACTCACTGCTAAAGAGGCAGAGACTCCAGGGACTGCGCTGTCCCCACCACCACCGCTGTGATCCTCTATTTAAAAAAAAAAAAAAAAAAACTTCTAGAAACCAAGCATTTGCAGAAGAGCTCGGCAGGAGTCTGGCCCCTTGAAATTCTGCTAACCCCCCCAGGTCTCTACCGACAGCAGCTCTCGATTTCCAAGTTTATCTTAGCTGGCTGGAGGAGAAAAACCTTTCAACTAGGCTGATGAAACAGTTTCTCCAAATGTGAAGGCCCCAGATCTCAAGTCCCTTCTTCAGCCCTGAAGGGGTCAATCAAAATAAACCTCTCCCAGTTTTTTGTTGTTCTTTTTTTTTTTTTTTCCCCAACTCCAAATCTGCCAGCAATTTAAAACGAAACCGAACTCCTTTCACCTCCCAAAGTAATCTGCATGGAATAGTTTGCACACACTTAAGAGGCCTGTCCTGGTGACAAGTAATTTAAAATTTTAATCCTGATCATCAACAACAATAACAAAAACACCATTTTTTAAAAAATACAAAAGTAAGGCTTATCCTGTAAAATATTAACTCCAGGGCCGGAGGAGCTGGTTGGCTGGAGAAGGGGAACCTGTTCTGTTTCCTGGGCCTCTTCCCTCTTAGTTACTTTATCCCTCAAGTTTGACTTTGATCTGCGGCAAGCAAACACAAACTGTTTGCAGGCATTTAGAGGCGCCGATTGTATCTGCAATCAATATGCTTTTTATCATCAGTAGTAAAACACAGCAAGTCAAATTATCCCATCAGGTTTTTGGTAAATAACATTTTATCTTTCTAACAACCTCATTAGGCCTCATTATCACCATAAATTGCTTAGACAGTCACTTGCTCACAATTTTATCTTTGGGCTTCTAAATACCGGACCCTAATAGCTTGGAAACCGAGGCCTCAAATCGGGATCTTGGTTTAAGCTCACTTTCCAAGACCTTGCTAAAGAGCTGCTGATCATACAGACATTCTGGGAAGAACGTTTTTTACTATTTCCCCCCTTACTAAAAGAAATCTAGCCTTGCCCTTTCCCACTTTGACACAAAAGCAGACTCTTAGCAAGTCATTCCCTCCCTCCCCAGCAGGCAGGCACACACACTTCCCAAATGGCTGGCATCTGCATTCACAATTTCGGCTGAAAAAGAAAAAAGAATCCCCTAAAGCAAAATCTTCCAGTTGCTACGCTAGCAAAGGAGAACTCGACTCTGACCAACTTGCAAACAGCGGATTTCTCTGCCCAATTACTGTAGTGTGGAGGTCGAGACTACACAGAACAGTTGCAGGAGCCAGAATTCGTTTCTACCCAGTCTCGGACAAATGAAATTTGTGTTTTTCAAATGGTTTTGGTTGTCATTGTAAAGAAGACATTTCGGCCTTGCCTCTGCTGGGAATTCTTTTTGAAAGGACACCCAGTAAATCTCTCATGGCTTTCCGGGTACCCGGCCACCGGAACAAAATGGGGGCTGCTCATTCTCCAAAGCTAGCGAGCGATCCGCAAGGCAGCTGGGCCAATTGCAAAGAAATAAGCTTTCTTTCAAAACTACAAGAAAAGTTGCGGAAAAACACGCCCGTTGCTTCTCTCTACACCGTTGGCGGGTCTTTAGTCCCGGTCTCTGCGTCACCGGTTGAGGACAATTCTGAGTCCTTGGAAATTGCTATCCAGCCCTCAGTCACAGAGGAGGGGGCTCTCTCCTTCACCCTGCTCTCTGCGCAATTCGCCAGCAGCTCAAAGTTTAAGCAGCCCCGACCTTGGCACCACGCGTAGGGAAAAGGGTCCTCTGGTCAGATCGGCCAAAGCCCCTTCCGAGAACGAACAATGTTCCCCTCGTGGGGCAGCTCCTGGACCGAAAGGATCACCATTTATTTTAGGCTCAAGGACACTGTTTTCTTTAATCCTCCATTATAACGCGGAGAGAAAAGTGCTTTACTTCTGTGCGAAAGAAACGAAAACTTTGGCAACTTAGGCAAGTGGAAGCAAAGACCGTTTCAGAAGCCAATATTTATTTCAGCTCTGTATTTTTAAGTCTCCAATTCGCACTCTAGCCGTGAAGAGACCTCTCCAATCTGTCCGAGTTCTATTGTTACGATTATTTGGACGGACTCTCCTAGGCTTCCAAGGACCCCTCTGGCAAACTCGGAGACAACTATCTCGGCTCTGCCAAAGACGGAGAGAATCCAGTCTTCTCCACCCAGATCAAAGCTGGTGAGGCCGTGCAAGCGAGGCCCGCGGCCAGGCGAGGGGAACCCTGGTAACCAGGCCGGGCTGCTGGCGCCCCGCGGGCCTCCCAGGCACCCAGGCCGCACCGGGAGAATTGGCCTGTGCGCCGCGCGCAGGGCCTGCTCCGGGTCCCTCTGTCTCTTCCGACCCCGCGCCACTCTCTTCCCGATGCCCGGGTCGCGATGGCTCCGCCGGGCCTCTCGGATCCCCTGGACTCCTCCTGGCGTTCCCCAGCAGGGCCCTCCCGAGGGACCTGCCCGGACCTGGCCCACTGCCGCCCGCCCCTTCCGCGCGCCCCACACCCTCGCCTCTGCAGGCGCCGAGTGGGACAGGGAGGCCGGGGGACTCACCATTTGCGAGAAGAGGCTGAGGTCGGCGGCGTAGGGCAAGAAGGCGCTGTAGTTGGGCGCGCCCGCGTACGGCCCCGCCGCGGCGTACATGCCCAGCACCGAGGTGACCGCGGCCGCGCCCGCTCCCAGCTCCGCCGCCCCGGGCCGGCCCGACGAGGCTGCAGCAGCGGCAGCGGCGGCCAGGACCCCCGGGCGCTCGCCGCCGTAGGCGCCGGGCCCCGGGGCGCTCAGGTACTGCGGGTAGCCCAGCTGCGGGAAGGACATGTCCCCGGTTTGGGGCGCCGGCCGGCGAGCCTATAAGGGCGGGGAGGTGGAGGCGCGGGCCGGGGCTCAGGCCGGCCGCGCGGGGGCCGTCG